TGAACAAACATCAGAAAACACACAAACTGTTTGTTTGGAGTTTGTCGCACAGTTTGCTGCTAGCTAAAGGTCCAGCTGCTGGATTCACAGGGAGACAAGAGAATGAGAGCTAACGTTGCTCTGAGATGGAGAAAGATGTAGGAAGACAGACAGAGAGGAAGAAGAGTGGTGAGATTTAAAGGTAAAGACTGCTCACTGATAAACTGCAGATTTAAAGCTTACATGTCATTTTAATCACATATTGAATTTGTGTATTTATAAATTATGTTTTTTTTCATTTTGTGAAACGTCCTGCTAAACAAAGAAAGCGATACTAGTTGTGTGTGGTGTGTTATTCAAATGTTTGAATGAAAATTCTGGGTAGTTATGTGAAGGATAAACAACTGTATAGGTCTAGTATAAAGATAGTATAAAGGGTATAGTGTCAGTGTAAGGGGTGGACATCGGACTTTGATACTAGCTTTGAAACATCTGATGACATCTTGTTGGATAAATCCACAAAGAGCAGAAGGTTAGCTGATCACAGCCAGTACACTACAAAAACCTACTGAGGCTCACATTAGAAACTGTGAGATGCTATTCTTTTCCGTGCACTGAGCCACTAAACAGATATTAGTATTCCCCACCTGCTGAGTCCCACTGTAACCTTTGACTAGACTAATTTTATTGTTTAGGTGTATGCGTTTGCCACCTCTAAGGATAACACACCATGTCACTAAGCTCAGTATATCACAGACTTTTTTCTTGTCAATGATTGTTAGTTCACTCTACTGAAATTAGCTCCACAGTCAGCATTTTGTTGAATGCCAAAAGAATTAAGTCAGTTCTGAAGGCAAAATGGGGACCAACCAGGTACTGGCAAGATGTACCTAATGAATCGTCCAGTGAGTGTATATACTGTAAAAGCATTTTGTCCTTAAATTTCTTCAGATTTCTGTGAACCTGACAACATGAAGCTATTAATATCCCCTGTGCTCTTGGCTCTCAACTGAGAAAATATCTGTCGTCTACTGTGGCCCCACTAATAGCTCATGTACAGAGCTGTACTTTATTGACCCTGTTGCTCCTAAAATCCAAGGGGTGCCTTGAGTCTTCGGCTTAGCTCTCTTCTGCAGTGCTTAATGAGACCAGATGCTGGCTCATATTAGGGTTCTTTTTTTTCTTTGAACAGCTGTACTGGCAACCTGCTCATCTATTGGCTCGGTGTGGCTGTGGAAGGAGAGACATTTTCTGGAGTTTCTGAGAGATCGGTTCAAATTATCATTTTTTTGTGCAAATACATTTTATGTTTGCATTCAGCTGCACTGAAGATACTTAAACTCACGTTTTTCAATTAAACAGTTTTCAGTTCTGTGTAACCATATTTAGCCTTAGACATGTTTCAGTGTTTATGATACCAGTCTCCAGCTGGTAAAGTCAGACTAGGTATCAAAATATTCAATGCTGATTTAGAGATCATATGTGTAAAATGGCCTGTATTTCATTCACACACACTGGTGATGGCAGCTACATTGTAGCCACAGCCACCCTGACAGAGGCGAGGCTGCCGGACACTGGTGCCACCGGGCCCTCTGACCACCACCAGTAGGCACAAGGACAAAACGACCGAAACTGTCCAAGCCGGGGCTCGAACCGGCAACCTTCCGATTACAAGGCAAACTCCCAACTCTTGAGCCACGATCGCCCCTACTATATCTTATAGGTTAACTTTTAAAACTGTCTCACTCTTTTCTCTTGATCTCTCATTTAGATACAAGCTAAATTTCACCTGCTAATCTTGGTAGCGTATTACTAACCTTTACTTTTGGACATTATATTGTAGTGATAAAGGAAAAGGCACAGAGATACTGCTGTAACATTTCTTTCATTTTGCCTGTATTTTCTCTTATGATACAGCAAATGGTACAGCTTTTGAATTTCTGTTACACTGAAATATCTTGATGCATGCTCCATCATCCAGGTAATGAAATCCAAGAAAGCTTATTCTGTTCATCTGGATGTAGCGTTGGGAGAAACGTTTGTCACTCATCCAGGTGACTTAAATGAGTGAGCCAGTGTTGATTGTGTTCATCTCGATGAACACAATCAACTTTCTGAGTGTTACACTGAGAGTTGGCCCTGTCTACTTTATGACTGATTTCACTAACTTAATCACCCCTGTGCCGTTCACAATGGCTGAGGCCTTGTGCGTATTGCTATCTCATACAGCGAAAGCAAGGAGAGAGCTGCTGACTTTTTGTTTGGCTGTTTAACTCACATTTACAATAATGTGCTGAAGTGTTGAATCACCCCTCATTTATTAATGTTTTGGCTTCTAAGGAGACAGCGTTAATTTTTTAAATGTGGTTTTGAACAATAGTTCTCTGGGCTTTTCCAAGCTGGACTTTGATCACTTTTTAACTCATCTTCAGTCCAGTCTTTCACTTTAGTCCAGGGGCAAACAAATGCCAGCGAGAACACACTTTTACAGACATACTGTTAAATTCTAAGATAATTCCCAAAGAGCTAATAGCTTAAAAATTTACCATATCTCAGTACACTGTGCAGTGTGTTCTTAAAAAATCAGAGGAAACTGGACACTTGGAAACTGGAGGACAAAAAAGAAAAAAGATGTGACAAGCCTAAAAAAAAGAAAAATCTGCAACAGATAAACAGTATTTGAAAGCCCCCAAAAAATCCAATTGAGACCTGACACAGGCCGACGATATAAATCTGGTGCTTTAGTTGATTGCGCTAGTGTTCAATGAAGCCTCATCAGAAATGGTCTCAGTGGAAGGGTGGCTGTCAAGAAGCCATTCTTCAGATTTTGATCCACCATGAATTCAACAGCTTTATTTTTCAGCAGCCATCCCAAACACACTGCCAATGCAGTAAAAGCAAGCCAGATATAAATAAACTTTTTTTTTAGTAGAGGACTATACAGTAATATTGTATCATTATACTTTGAGGCTTTCATTGTAGTATCTTATTGTATATCATCATTTCTCTGAAGCATATGTGGCTGTGGGTACTTGCTGTTAATTTTAACTTTATTGATTTCACATTAGGTTATTTGACAGCTAATAACTTACATAGGTTGCATTGCTAGTCCAGTACTTCACATGCCATTTGGGTTATTAGTATTGATCCGCCCTATCCTGTTTAGCAGTTTATAAAGCATTTAACAGTCCTGCTGCAGTCTCCAGCTGTTTAGTGTTGCACTTTCTAAAGATTGTGAGAGTCATAAAAGACAGATTCAAACCAAAAACGGTGAAGATGAGCGATGATAGTATAGTTTGATTACTGGCACAGTAAAATCAATTGTATAACAACTAACTCTGATAACTCTTTGCAATACTTCACCAGGAATCGATCGGAATAGATTTCTTTTTTTACTTGTGTAGCTCCCCCATTGGTTTTCGCTTTCCCATATATGGAACTATAATCCAGTGACACTGGTGTGTTTGTTTGTTTCTTTTAAAAGATCAAACCTCCAATTTGAATGAAATCTAAGCAAAAGAGCTGAGCCAAGGCAACTCTGTTGACATCAGTTTTTTATTTCAGTGAAATTTGCCCTCATATGCACTTATAATAACCTTTTACATATCAAACTTCTTGATAAGTTCCTGAGCATTTAAGATAAAAAAAAAAATTAACGATGTGCTGCTTTAAAGCCAAACAATGATAAAGCCTTTCCATTCACTGCCCCTTAAAATTTGGACCAGCCACCCACTTATAATGTCAGATTATCTGTGCCAGACCTAAAGCTCATTTTAATGGTGTGGGAAGTGTTTACTCTCTGCGTATCTCTGCTTTGTTATTTTGTTTCTTCGTGTACTTTCTTTTTCCACCCTGTCGTGACTCAGACAGAGGCAGTTATACACGGATTTCCAGTGATACACTAAACCAAGCATCTCATTCCGGTTCCTCTGGCTGGGTCTCTACCTCCTGCATCAAATTCAGCTTTTGATATCAGCCAGCCCAAAGCGGGGCACCAGCAATGAAGCTGTCATGCTGTTTTATCCAAACAGACTCTTCCGCCCCAAACAGAGTCTGCCTGCAAAGCCGCTGTAATCCAAGCCTGAAACTTGCCAACTTCCCAGACTCACAGAATCGTATCACCTCTCCGAATGGCTTTCTCCACCCATCCTTGTTTTCATCACCTCTCCTTCCTAACTCTGCTCCTCTCCATGTTTGTCAGTATTTCTTTATCCTCTCATCTTCCCTCAGTCTTCTGTCTTTCCGCTGCCTCCCTCCTCTCCCTTCACCTTTCCTCCCCTCCTGTGACCTCTTGCCAAAGCTCCAGGGATTCACTCAGTTGTTGTGATGGCAGAGGACTGTGGGATACCAGCTGCAGTTTTAATGATTTTGCCCCCAGGCACAGATCAGCCAGAGAAATACAGCTACCATTTTTTAACAGAATGGGAACTCTCACCCGGGCAACGCCTCTGTGAAATATGTGTGAATTTGGATATGCCTGTGCACAAACATCTAAACTTGTTTTAATATCACATCTAAGCGATGGCTTCGGCATTTTGTTTCTGGTCACTTTGAGAAATTTTAAATTGCATTATTATACATGTTTTCATAGCTGCTAGCGAGATAACTTTTGAGTGGGAGCAGTGTTGTTGCTGAAGTTGGAAGTTCATTTTAACTGTTTTTCTTTGTTTTCCTCCATGCCGCTTTGTCTCTCTTCATAGCTTCCACCGTACTCTCCCTCTCTCTTTTGGCTCAAGTTTGACAGCAGAACTGCGGCACGTCCTGCAAACACATTGCAATTAGCATCATGCGCTTCAGTGCATCCCAAACCGCTCGCTGATGAAGTTCAATCAATTCGCTTTAATTATAACTTTTTCAGAAACAGCTCTAATTTCTGCAAAAGTTTGATCTCTCAGGGGTTTTTTTTCAATAACAAGCTGTGGCAGGTAGTTTAGAAAAGTAGCCATTTGGAAAGTGCTGTTTATACGTCTATGTTTCTGTCTAATCTCACTCACCTCCTCATGTTCTCTCTCTCCCTGCAGACATTGATGACTGCCAGTCGAATCCATGTCAGAACGGAGGAACCTGCATCGATGAGATCAACTCTTTTGTGTGTCTTTGTCTGCCCAGCTATGGTGGCGCTACTTGCGAAAAAGGTAAAGTGGCAAATGGGATTGCTTCCCCTTTTACTCATTAGTTCATTTTAGTAAACGCTGCATGTGTGCAGGGATGAAATACATTCCCTCTTTCTAATTTCTATTAGTTCTTAGCTTACCTTAATTTTTGGATCAACCGGAAACTTTAAAAGGGGCTTCTGGGACAACCTGATTATACAAAATTACAGTAGTAAAAATGATAAAAGGAGTTTTTCAGCATTATTTCCAGAGAGTATATTCCCAATGTTAGTAATATTGTGCTGTTGAAAGTAGCTACTCCAGGATGAGGATAATGCAAAAAAAAATACAGAAGAAAAACAGAGCTGTGCAGGACCAAAAGGAAGAGATGATGAAGGTGGAGAAGCAAGGTAACAAGCGAGGATAATAAAAAAAGAAGACTGGGTATTCCTCTGTGTATATGCAAAAGAGAATAAGAAGATGGTTTAAGACCAGTATGTGGAGACAAAGGTAGATTTAGGAAGATGGAGTTAATGAGTTATGTGTCAGTGAAGACAGAGGAGATAGAGGAAATGGAGAAGGAGGGGGTGAATGTAGACAAAGAAGTTGAGGAGGGGGAGACAGGGAAGCCCTGTGGCATAATGTATTGGGTTTATAGAGAACACCTGCGTCCAGCTGGTTTTGTTTCTCATTATGGGAATTCCCATGTGAGAAAAGGGGCATTTCATGGAAACGTGGCCTACATGTCACTGCAGAACACCACTGAGGGGTACTTACAGCTACTGTTTGCATTAGGGTTTGCTTTGAACATATTTTTTACCCAGATTCTACGACAGACATATTATTGGATATTTTCTAATGTAAGAACCGTGCAATCAATGCAGTCTAAAGAAAAGAAGGTCACATAACGCTGACAGTTGAGACTGAAAATGAAACCAAAATTGAAGATAAAAATGGAGAAGAAATGTGTACGGCCCTCACCATGTCTCAGGTTAAAAACAAAGTGCAGTTATTGCATAAGTAGCTTTGTAGTCTCTCACTCAGGCAGATGCTTGTTTAAATAAACAAATGCTGATTTTCTTGGAAATCATTAGAAAGATATCCCAATTAACTTTCCTGAGAATCTTGATAAATTTCAGGGTTTCTTAAGCATGAAAATAACCTAGAATTAGTTGTCTCTGTATACTCGATACAGTGCAACCAGGGATTTCTCATAAGTAAATTGGCTCATTTGTGATGATGTAATAACTTGGGATGTCAAGTATTAACAAACGTTGGCAAAGAAAACACATTTGAGATATTGAGGGGGGCAATAACTGCGTAAAGCAAACTGTGAATCTCCTAAAATATGAGCCTTAAGATAGTGCAATTAAATTTAAAAAGTGAAAACCAATGAAGACAGCTGAGCTGACGAGTTTTAGGTAGAGGGAGAGTTGGAAAATTGTGCTTAATTAAATGCAGCCAAGCTAAGTTCCTGCCCATTCAGGTTGACCTTTGACCTTATCTCAGAAGAAGAGTTGTGTCTCTGAAGATGTGTCTTTTCTTTTAATGCAAGTTTGGCTTCTGGTCTCTTTTGCTTTTTACTACTCTTTTCTGATCTGGGACTTTGAGGGAACAACAATCGATGCTGCGCAAAGAGCGGGAAGAGAATGAAGCACAATGGACATTTTAAATGTTGAAAACTTTAGTTTTGGTTTTGGCAGGTTGCAAAAAGAAAAGTAATGACATGTAAGCAGAACAAAAACACAAAGCTCCAAATTAGCTCTGCTCTTTGACAGCGTGCAGGTTCGTTTCCACAGCAGTTTGACACTCTAGTCCTCACTGACACATATTGACTACTGTATACTGACTTATACTGTAACATTTCTGCTCACGAATTAGCTCTTTTCTTATGTAGGTGCTTTTCTGTACATCAAAAGTAAGACTCAAAGTGTACACTGGTGTTTATCTATTAAACTCTTAGTCCCTTTTCTTTTCTGCACTGAGATAATTATTAAAAGAAAACTAATGCATTACATTACTTAATTACTCCCAAGAGACAATAATTTTTTACGCTTCATGTGACATTATTTGTGCGTCACTCTTTAACATAACCTAAAGCGCACTATCATATTATTACAAGTTAACAATGTAAGCCTACAGCCACATGCCGAATCAAATGCCTATCCCAATGAGAACATGCTTACAATCTTTCTTTTAGTGTTTACGTTTGAATATAAAAGTTGAAAATCATCCCAAAGAGATTTCAATTTAACTTTCAATTCAATTTCAATTTATTTATTTATTTATACAGCACCAAATCACAAAAAACAGTCACCTCAAGGCACTTTATATTGTAAGGTAGACGCTACCGTAATACATACACAGAAAAACCCAACAATCATACGACCCCCTATGAGCAAATGGGTGTGGCAACAACTCTGATGTAGCAAAGTTGTTGCCTCAGCAATTCTACAGTTGAACTATGTAAAGGTAAAAATGGAGGCTGCAACATGTTGGCTGTGTCAAAGTCACTCACCACTGACTTTGTTACCTGTTGAAGATCGGGCTGTGGCCGCTGTGCTCGGGTCTGCATACAGACAGACTAAACATCACTCTGGGTTCTTCACCTACTGTAATAGTATGTCACGATCCTGGGTCTTATGACCCAGTGTTTTGAGTTTTAGTTCATTTTGATGTTTATAGTATGTTTAAGCTCATTAGGTCTCCTATGTTCATTTGCTTATTAGTTCCCCCTTGTGTTTCCAACCCATGTTAAGTCTCCCCTGCTCTTCATGTGTTTCATGTCTGTGTCTTACGTTGTCAAGTTCTGGTTGTCATGTCTGCGTCTCATTATGTTTCCTATTTTATTTTGAAGAGATCTCGTGTTTTTATATTATGGATTATGTTTTGAGTCCTTTGTTGTACTGTTTCTTGTTTCCCTAGGTCTCAGTTATGGTTATCATAGGTTTAGTTCTTTGGCTTTGTAATATGGCTTCCCTGTGTTCCATGTTGTGTCTACTGTGATGTTTTTGTACCATGTTTCAGGTTCCTATGTTCTGTCTTCCCAGTTGCTGTTAAGTTTACAGGTCTAGAGTTCAGTCAGTGTGTTCCCTGTTTTACTTTGAAGGTCCGTGTCTCATGTCAGTGTTTCTAGTTTTGCTTCCCTTGTCTCGTCCAGCCTGATTACTCCCAGCTGTGCTCTCCTTCTGTGTCTCGTTCCCTCGTTATCCCTCTGTGTATTTGAGCCCTGTGTTTCTCTTTGTTAGTGTGATAGTCTCCCTCGTGGCTGTGTTTCCCTCTGTGTCAGTTTATCCATGCCCCAGTTTAGTTTTGTTATATGTTTGTGCCATTCTGCAATAAAGCAGCTTTTTGAGTTTTATTCCTGCGTGGTGAGTTTTGCGTTTGGGTCCTTCTCTTGGCTGCACACAGCCGAAACATGACATAGTATTCTGTCTGTGCAGATGTTTGCAATGAGCCCATTTTGTGTTAGTATAATGCAGCTGTTTCTGCCCTGGGTGTGATTTGCCATGTACCATAACACTCGTCCTTTTGTGGAATAAAAATAAATGTACTGTCCATATCTGTGCTCCTGAGAAGTCATAGACTGATCTACCATGTTCCTTCTTCTTTCACACAAACTGAAACCAGCTGATTTTAGTGTAATTGTGCAGAGGGAAAAATGCACCTTTGACATTTTTTTTTTGCTATCCACCTATCATGCAGACAACTGAAGATCATTTGTAATGAATATTGGCAAATAACAGAAATGTGATTATTAATTTAGTACAGTAACACGTTACTTTGTAAAGCAGTCCACCCAGGATTTAAAATCTTATTATAGTTTTTTTTTTTTTTTTTTAAAAGCACACACAACATAATTGAAAGCAATGCAACACACACTACAGAACATTGAGCTTAGCATTATCTCAGAGCAACACAGATGTAAACAATAATGGAGACTTTGGTGCCACAGCTTGCTGCAGTAAGAAACAGTAAAATCAGAAGGCTGAAGTTTGGATGAAAGTGCTTGGAAGGATGCAGCTTTAGTGAGAAGTGATGAGTGCTGAGACTGTGTGCAGTTATAGTTGTCAAAAATAAGTACGTTAGCTAACATTAGTCTAAGCATCAGCTGTTCCAGGACTGGCATTGTACATAAAGTCATATTTGTTGTGTACTAAAAAGCTTTTACTCCATTTCAGCTGTCCAGTGCTCCCATACAGTAGCTTGTTGTTTTACAGTCACTATTTCAAGTGCTTTCTCATTCACTTCTGTCTGCTTGTAGACTGAAAGTGCTGATTTAACTATTACCATGCTGTCATATTGCAGATTTTAATAAATGTCACAGATGTTTGATGTTATTGAGATTCTTTTGGAAGGTTTCAAATGAGTTTTGTAAACCCTTTACAATACCACAGTAGGGCATTTTGACTTGAATATATTTCTTGAAAGTCCAACAACTTCATTCACAAGCTGTGTTAAATCTTCTAAATGCTGCCTTTAATCTCACTGGTCCCTGTATTTTCATTAGTTCTCATCTACCTCTTTTTGATCTTTAACCAGAGCAAATGTTACTTTGGTCACAGCATTTTGTAATTTTCCTTGAGCTTATGATTGTCTCTTTAATATTCATTCACTTCCTGTGGTGCAGATCATGAATAAACAAACAAAAGAAAAACATTTAGGCATAGTTTAAAAGTCCCATAAAAATGCAGAGCTTCTTCAAATCAGGGTTGGTTATTAAATGCTTGATTGATCTCACGAATTAGACTTTGATATCCTTCAATATTGCATCTATAAGACATATAAGAAAAAGTGTAGTTTTTTCTTTGCCAAACACAGAGTACCTGAGTGCGCCTGTCGTTTGACATGCACAGGAGCTCTGCGTACGTTTCCTCTCCTGCTGCGTTGCTGCCTTCATGGCTGATTGGGAGCAGCAGGACTGATTGTGTAAATCTAAAGTCTCTGTTTTCCTGTCGCTTTTATCTCTCGCTGCTCTGCACTCGCAGAAATGTGGGATTCAGCTGTGAAAAGTGCGATTCGCAACAGGCGTCGCTCTGCCA